AAAACGTGTATAATGTATTATTTGAACAATGCTATTTTACACTACGATTTTCATTCAACTTTTCTGTGACTATTCTTTTCTCCTAATATTCTATACTCTACCTTCCTATATAATTATGATGATTTAAAAAATCACTTAGAAATTGCTAAGCACAGTTGGTATATCCCTGTAGATTACAAAACCAATTTAAATTCCATGGTTAAAAAAATAGCAATCCCTTGGTTTAGTGCTATTATTATCCACTAGAGGGTGCTCATTAAATTGACTGTAAAAGCCTGGTTTAGAAAAGAATAAATTAATTCATGGAAATACACCAAAATGTTTTCAAGCCATTTTGTTTTTACTCTTCACAGATTCTAATGATGCGCTAATAGCTTCCTACTCCTTGGCAATGTTTTTCTTTGTTTCTAATAGAAGGGCAATTTATGTCCAGATTTGTTGTCCATAGTACCTCAGATAGAAAGTCCTGTGTGAAGATTTGTGTTTCTGGGAGAAACAATAAAAGGCTAAAAAGTCTGAACATATGGAGTCCCTTTTATTAGGGGAATTGTGCATACACTTTCAAGGCTGGGCCTCCAGACCCTTCACAGCAGCACAGATGGCAGAGAAAAATGCATGGACTTTTAAGTCATAGGCCTGGATTAGCCATAATTCTGAGACACCTGGCAATTGTTCTAACTTCTGACTTTAATAGGGGCTAAAAGTTACTACTTCACAGGAATTTGCACAGATTAAGGTTAAAAATGTGTGTAAAGCCAAAATATGGGAAAAAACAGAAATCTAAATACTAGTTTACTTCTCTCTTCCCTAACCACCCCACTCTATCCCCTTTTACAGATTCTGGTGATACCATCTGGTTATATAATTTTTTCCTCTCTGTTATGTGAACATACAGTGAGGACAGTGTCTAAATAAAAGAATGTTAGGCCAGACTTAAATGTTTGTGTTTTTGTTTTGCATTCTATAAAGTACACATAAAATTTCCAAAGTTCATAAAGATTTTCAATTAATCCTCCCCTCATACATATGCTTGAGGGCAGGATATGTCCATCTTATGTCCATCTTTGTATCCTTAGTGCTCAGCACAATGCCTTGTACATAAATACTCTCTAAACTGTAGTAAGTTGGTGACTTGCCAAAATCTTAAGGTACTGCTTTTTCAAGACCCTTCCTTGTCAGGAAGAGCTGAGCAAGTTGGTATACCACAATACAATCTTGAAAGAATTATTCATTCTTGAATAATTATACAATCTTGAAAAATTATTCATTTTATTGTCTCAAATGATTACATAAAATAGGTACTATTTTTTCCCATTTTAAGATAACGACAATGAGGCACAGAGATGTTCAGTAACTTACCTAGGTCATATGCTACAAGATGCAGAGGTGAGATCTGAACCCACACTCCTAATCACTGTATAGAGGGAGAAAGTAGAAGGGCATTCCTGGCAGAGGGAACAACTCATCCAGTCCCAAAGGCATGAAGGAGCCTCTCTAGTCATGATAAGATCTTTAGTCTAAACATAATACTACAGACAGTGGGGGACCAAAGGAGGTTTGTATTCAAGGAGTGACACAACAGAATATGGCAGCACAGAGAAGCAGCATGACAGACTAGATGAGACAAACTCCCAAGGCTCTTCCAAATGTGAGCTGTGTATCCTTAGGCAACTTCCTTAACCTCTGTGTGCCTCAGCTTTCCTATCTGTAAATGGAAATAATAACTACCTCAGAGGGTTGTACAGAGGATTATCATCTGTAAAGTGATTGGAAAATTGCCTGGCACATGGTGCCATTAAAGTGGTTGATAAAATAAGCAAACAAATAAATATAAACATGGGAGACTATGGCTGTTGCAATATGACAGATAAGAGATGATGAAGCCACACAGTGGAGGCTGGGAGCCCCCCTGGACTCCCATCGGCATACCCCATCTGCATCCAAGCCAGGAAAGGAGCCAGCCCTGAGCCAGCCCCGCCCCTTTCTTCCTTCCCCTCCATCACTCTGCAACATCTCATATTAAAAAATAAAGAAATAAAGAGATGATGAAGGTGTAGCTGAATAGTAGCAGTAGAGATAAAAAGAGAGATTCAAATTAAGAAATGTCTCAGGTAGAAGCAATAGCATTTGGTAGCCATTTAGATTTTGATTGGGACAGAAGTGTGTGGTAGCACATAATTAGGAAGTCCCCAAGACCACTGTCAAGTTTAATTATTCACTAGAAGGACACAAAAAACTCACAGAAAGCAGTGATACTCACAGTATGGTTACAATTTATTACAGTAAAAGTATACAGGATTAAAATCAGTCATGGGAACAGATTCATGGTGTAGAGGCCTCAAAAATTCAAAGCATAAAGCTTCCAGTTGTCCCCTCCAGTGGAATCATGAACAAGGAATGATATGTGACAATGTACACAGGAGTACTGCCAACCAGGGACACTCACCGAAGCCTTGGTGTCCAGTTTTTATTAAGGCTTGGCTACATACACATGACTGACGGTTCATACAGCTGATTTTTAGTCTCCAGCCACTGGAACTTGAGCTGATATCTGTGGTCCACAGCCCCCACCATAAATCACACTGTTAGACTATCAGTTATGGCTTAAGCCCCCAGAGACACTCTTATCAGGCAGGACATTCAAAGGGCTTAGAGATCACCTCCGAGGAGCTGAAGGTAAAATGCCTATTTTTGAGGAAGGTTAATTCTTTACCACAAAGGTAGTGAAGGTATGGAGGAGAAAGGAGAAAATGAAATTGAGATGACAGCATATTGATCGAAGTTTAAGGTCATGCCATTAATGGGCTAACATGAAGAAGAACATGTAGGCAACAAGTAAAGCAAAAATTGAACCAGGATAAACTCCAGCTTTGAAAAGCTGCTCAGAGAATAACTCAGCAAGAAAGATTATTACAAAACAGTAACATTAAAATAAATACTAAATCTTCCCACCACTACAGGAAACTAAAAATATTGAGTATATTACTTTCTAGATATGAAAAAAAAAAAAAAAGCACACAACTTTCCCTGGAAGTAAATAGACTCTGCAAGTGCAATATTATGTCTTGCAAATAGTTAAAAAACAAAATATTTAACTCTGTTCTTACTTCCCCATGCCATCTTCCACGCTCAGACTATTTTATAAGCTGAGAAGCCTCCATTTTGCCTATGACAAATTTAGCACATGTTTATGTAAAAATTAAATTACCATGAAAATCCAACAAAAAGGTAGATGAAGCAGAAGGCACAGCTAATTAAATGATTTGAGGTTCACTGCTCATTTCATTCAGGGTCAAATAATTTATAAGTCTGTCTGAGTACACTCAATAGAAAAATGAGTAGCCAGATTACTATAAAGTCTATAGACAAAATACCACTTGAAATCTTTTTTTTTTTTTTGAATCACCCAAGTACGCCTAATTACATCCCAGGTATGAGAGACAATATAGAACAAGGGTTAGCACTGGGAGTTCTTGAGTCAGAGAGCCTAAGCACAAGTCCCAGCTCTGCCACTTACTAGCTAATGAACTTAGGCAAGTTACTTAAACTCTGTGCAACATCCCCGGGTGAAAAACGGAAAATGAACCTCATAGATTTGTTCTGAGGTTCATATAAATCGGTATTGCCTAGCACATAATAAGCACGTAATAGCTGTTTGGTTATTTGGATGTTCTGAGTACCTTTACAGACTGAAAACCTCATGAATTTATTACACACTTGGTCTTTCTTTTGGTGTGAGAAGACACCCATTTAGAAATCTAGTTTTGAAATAAAAACCACAACTACATAAACTATGTTTTCATTATTACAGAATTTATGAGTTTCTAAAAGAGCGTAATTGTCCTGAAATTATCTTAGAACCACCTCAGACTTTATGATCTTTATCAGCCCAAATTGTTGACTAATCTGTTAAAAAAAAAAAATGCTTAAAGCTGTCCTTTGTAAAGAAATGCTTATTGAGTCAAACCAAGAAGCAACAGAATAAGACAATCATATGAGAAATTACAGTCTGAATCAAGTTCCATATATCATCTGCAGCCATATAACTTTTTTCTCCCTTTGCAAAATGTATTGAGCTCTTGCCCCTAACTTCAGGTGCAGGGCACCCTCTTCCCTCAGCCTGGAGTGTCTATAGTTCCTTTTGCCAGTCACTCCTCTAAGTTACCAAGTGCAGGCTTCTTCTTAGTCTTTCACTGGCACCCTCAGGCTTTGTTAGATAAGACAAAGCCTACTTATATCATAATACTTACTGAACTGGCAGTTTACATAGTTGTAAACACACCACTCCCCCCACCTCCCCCAGGAACACTAGAATGCATGCAAACTAGACATGGGTACTGTCTTGCTTTTTGTACTTGGGAGGGCATTGTATATTGTATCAGGCACTTAATATCAAGAACCCGTAGGTAACATTCTGACCAACTGCAAAACTCTCCAAACATACAAATTAAACTTCTGTAACTGTCATGCATTAAACGTTTCTTATTTCTATTTTTTATAATACATTTAAAGAAGGTGTGTGTATACATGTGCATACGTTCAAAATATAGTCAGCCACAGACATAACAGGGAAGATGATTACCGAATAAAGTGATTTGGGTAAGATAAAGCAGTTATTGGCTTTAAAGATTTGGTATACAATCTTCTGAATTTCAAAAACTAGTCAAATATCCTCAAGTTTTAAGATTTTTCTGTTACTGTATAATTAATTTTGTCAAACTGGTGGGCATTCCTATTTCAAGGATGAAAGCAATTGCTCAAAGGAAGGTTATAAAAATTTTTGCTTACAATCACTACCACGTTTCTTCCTCCCCTTTCTATCATCCTATAATTCAACCTATTTCCTCTTAGTTCTTCTTTCTACAGCTGCAATAGGAAAGAGTAGCCAGTTTAGATTTCTTTACCTTTTATCCTCACAGCATCCTTCCCCGAAAAAGGTATATTATATACTTTACTTTTTCTGTCGTATCATAAAGCATCAAGAGATGAAATATACTAACCTTACTGTATCCCAGGAATCTCCAAGTTCTTTGGAGTACTGTTTTTCAAAATGATCCAACACAGCTTTGCAAATCTGTTTTGCAAGCTTCCCGTCTGATTTTGTTTTCAGCTATGACGATAAGAAAAGTTGCTGACACACACTGATATTACAAATTTATTGAACTTCAACATTAGCAGTCTTTTTATTTTTTAAGATGAGAACACTTCTTATGGATAATTACCAGTTCTCACTGGGGGAGCAATACCTTACGTGTAAGAAAATTGTATTGGGATATTCTACCTATGAAAAAGGGCAGTTCTTCGCAATGATTATTGTCCAAATGTCAAGCAAATGTTAAAGCGCAATCTCATGGTGCTAAGGAAACTGTGTCAAAAGGAACAAAACTAATTTTAAAATGCCACTGTAGATGTTAACGTCAGGGGGAACACGGTGAAAGGCATAGGGGATCTCTTCTATTTTTGAAAATTTTCTGTAAATCTAAAATTATTCCAAAATAATTCGTTTATTTAGGAAAAAAGTCAATCTAGTTTCCTCTTGACATTTCCTTGCAATTGTTTCATTTACCCATCCAAGAAAAGTGTAGCGAAGGCCTATTATGGAACAGACATTGTTGCAAGATCCTAGGATACAGCAGTGACACAGAAGACAAAGTCTCAGCTCTCAAGGAGCTTACACTCTTCTCGAAGCTGGAGGGAGTAGGTATTAGAAGTCGGCGGGCTGGACTGAAGGGAGCATTTATCCGGGGACAGAGGGAGGCCTTGAGAGAAAACTACACAGACGGCTCACGAGCAAGCGTCAACGAACTCAGCATCATCCCAGGGATCTGGACAGCGAAGCCAAGGAAACTCGGATATCGCGAAAGGGCGGCCAAAAGCGAGGTTACCCCATCCGAGTCCCCTCCCTCCCCACCTCGGCCATGTAGAAAAGTGTGGCTGGGCCAGAAGCGCCCGGCCACGCCCCAGGCCTCACCCGGGTCAGCACCATCCTGCCGAAGGCTTCCAAATATGTCCACAGTAACCGATATCAAAAAGCTTTCAAGGAACTGAAAGAACAGCCTGACTTCCGGAATTCGCGGGAATACGCTTCCACTTTTCCGGTTCAAGTTCTCGCGAGATATTGTCTTGCCTGCGTTATAGAAATCTCGCCAAAACGGATTAGGTCCCGCGAGAAGCATGCGCGAAGTTACTTCGGCGGGTTGCCGGTGGAGACGGGGATTTCCAAGGGCGGGGAGGCCGCCGGCGAAGTCCACGCCTACTCCTTGGGCGTGGCCGGAGCCCTTGGGCTGAACTTCGGGCTGCTAGTCCGTAGAAAGTTACATAACGCGCTGAACAGTCTATGTGCGTGGGATTCAGTAAAAGAATGAATCTTTGGGTTATGTTGTATGAACATTGTTTTAAACTTCTCAAAGGCGAAGCTAGTTACTGAATTAGTCTACCAAATCTCCGTTAGCCCATGAATTCAGTACTAAAGGATAAAAGTGTGAAATATGGTGAAAAAGATATTAAGTACGCTTACCTTATTAGCCCAGTAGGTCGTACAGAAACCTGGTTAGCGTAGTTGGTTAGAGCGCAGTCTTATAACTTCAAGGTCACAGGTTCGGATCCCTGTATCAGAGCTGGCGCATGGGGATAATCTGTCCTATTAATGGGGAGGGATAGTTAAATGATTACATTGAAATACGTTGTACATATAAAACGCTTAGCACAGACTAGGAAACAGTAAATGCCCGAATGTTAGCTGCCTCTATTATTTTCACTATCATAATCAATGTGATTATTATCATCATGTTCTGATACCAATGTTTGAAGACCAAAATGACCCTCCACACTAGCCTCCTCACTCACCTTTACAAGTGCTAATGGTTATTAGGAAGGTATTTATTGCATCCATTCTGATAGGAATAGCAGTTTATTTGGTCTTTTGGTGATGCTCTTTAGTAACTATCCCTTGTAGCAGCAATCAGCAATTTCTCAGAGAAATTCAGTGCTTAAAACCATCCCTGACATTTAATAAGCATCATCATTTTGAGTTGGCCCTTGATGCTCAGAATATCAATATAGGTATATGTAATAGGTACAAGTCTTACCACCATGTAAAAAGACAAATGTCTTAACTACTGATGTGATTTGAAGCTTAACATATACAAACAAGTTTCCCAGTAATGTAAAAATACATCTTGTTAGAATTTAGATTTGTTACAAAAGAACATGTGGTATTCAGGAGTGAAATGATTAAATGTAAGCCATCTGTTGGATGTTTGTGGAAAAGTCATTAGTCTACTTTTCAGCCTCTATACTTAGAGATTTTACTTTATTTTCCTATGCTCATTACAAAATGTTGTAATTAATGAATTAATACAGTAGTATTATATTTGCAATGTAGACATATAAGACTTTTAAGTAGGTAGTAAGAATCACATATTAGGGAAAGATGATGTTTTATATTTGAAGAGGTTTTATTAGTTCTATTCTGTGACTTTTAGCATATTCATGAATTTGTTCAGGAATTTTTATCTGTATTTTTGATAATCTTAAAAATTATAATTATGTTCTTAGTATGGGTAGGATTTCAAATCTTACTGTTTTTTAAATAAATTACTTGCTCATGCCCACTTACCTACAAGTGTCTTAGTGCTATTTTATTCATATTTATATTAAAGATGTTAACCATGTCACATTTTTAAATACTTTCCTGATTTTTCTTACAACCATTTGAAGTGTGAAAATATTTTAAACTTTTATGCATTATCAATTACTTGAGTTTGTTATTGATTCCATTGCTTTCAAGCTTATAAATTTCTTCCTACAGAGGAAAGCCACTTCTGTTTCAGACCCGCTTTTATAAATACATATATATTTATAGTCTGATATTTTATGTGTAACCTGTAATCTATCTAGAATCAATATTTGTGTCTCATGAGGATGTTGAGGGATTTGCCCCCAACCCCCATCCCAAATAGCTACTGAAGAAGAAACAATGCTCCACATTAAGTTTTAGGAAGAAACTATTAGTAGCAGACTTGTTTTAAACCACTGCAGACATGAGATAAGAAACTGAGCTGACACAAGTACCAGAAATTACGTTAGTTTTTATTAGTAGTAGTATTAGAGTGTTAAAGAACCAAGCAGCTTAATAAGTACTTAACTCCAGGCAGGAAAAGAATTTTTACGTACCTCAGCAATTTTATTGTGAAGTAAGTTGATCTAAGAAGTGTTTCAGAATAAGTACACTTGACAGACTATCTCTTAAACTAGCTATCTGTTATGAATGTTCACATTTACATAAAACATGTCTCAAAACCTTTCATTTTCATATAGAGGTTTATGTTGTCAAAAGGGAGGACAGACTTTGTAGTAAAGTAATTGCACGTCATGAGAGCCCTTAGCTCCTTAAAAATATGGTAGAAAAACACAACAGAGAAACCTGTGATCGATGCTAGAGAACACATCATAGTTGTAGGCAATATCGTACTTTAACCTCAGGTGAGCCTCTCATTTCATTAATTTAGGGTTCCAAGTTAGTGTGTATAAACTCCAACAGACAATCCACTGCAACTAGAAAGTAAATATAATGATTTCTATTTTTATTTAGTTTTATCTATTTTTCTTAAATTTCTTTTTTCAGGGAACCATATTTTAAATGTACATAGTGCAGTAGAGCATGGATATAACTTTTATGGGCTGAAATTTGTCCCACCAAAATTCATATGTTGAAGCCTTAACCCCCAGTACCTCAGAATGTGACTGTATTTGGAGATGGGGTCTTTAAAGAGGTGATTAATTAAGTTGTAAGAAGAGGAAAATTGAACACGGTGTTCAGAGATACCAGGGGCGCATATGGAGAGAAAAAGCCATGTGAAGACATAGCAAGGCTGCGGCTATCTATAAGCTCAGGAGAGAGGCCTCTACAGAAATCAAACCAGCCAACACCTTGGTCTCAGACTTCCAAACTCCAGAACTGTGAGAACATAAACTCCTTTTGCGTAAGCCACCTTGGTCTGAGGTACTTTGTTATGGCAGCCCTAGCAAACTAATACAATAATTTAAACAAAATGTATATTAAAAATATTTACAGATAGGATGTATTATTTAAAAATTTGGAGACCACTGATTCACTTACCTAGGTCACAAATTCTGTTTCCTCATCAGTGCATAGAAGGAATTTACAACTTAGGCGCTAACCAAGCAAATGATTTCTTCCTTATTTTCCCTGTAGTCATAAGCTGATCCCCTTCATTAAAAGGAATTCATTTATTTCTAACTTCCTTTTTTTCTCAAACAAAACAAAAAACAAAAACAAACAAAAAAACAGGCTTCTATTATTCTGTTTCTACAAAGCTAAAAGATTATTGCTATTTTGATATCCTATATCATACTTTAAAAGTTTCGAAATACCTGGATTTGTTCTTTGATCAGTTTGAACATATTACTTGATAAATTAAATAATCAGTATTAGCGTAAACTTGGTAGCCAAAGCATCCTCTAGAGAAAAACTTACTTATTAAAGAAAAGAATAATAATATTTGCAAGCTACAGATTTATTTGTATAAGCAGTTTCACTTTTGGAAAACTTTTGCCACCTGGAAGCATTTGATTTCTTTAGTTGAAATGGGAGAAGTCGAGTAAAATGAATGGCATAGCATGTCAAACTGAGTATCATATCAAAGTGTTGTCATAGTAAGAGAACACTTAGTAAAAGATCAGCTGCAAATATAATGGTGTATTCTATAGATGAACTTCTCCAGGCTATTCACAGGAGGTTTTACATATTAAGAAAATTCTAGTCTTTCATTTGGCATTTAAAAGAGCATTTAATTTCAAACTTACAAAAAAAAAAAATGGCACTTAAATAATTTATACGAAATTATAAACTTGCTTCCTCCACTAAAAAAGTAAACCAAATTACAAAAATAGTTTGAAAAATTGAGGAAAACATACAACCGATAACTAAAAAAATTCACTATTAGCATTTAGCAACATTTTTCTAGTGTTTCTATGCATAGTTTTATACTTGACATCAACTACCTACAATTGTGTATATATTATATACATATGTATTTATATATAAAGGCATATAAGATTAACTTTTAAATAAATAAAAATGTATCTGTTGACCAGTAGCTTTAACAAAAAACAGACACCTAAACATCTAGAATCATATGGTGAAATGATGCTGTTTTTAGCTGCCTTCCAAAGCACATTCTTTCCCATATATACGAAAACTTGCAGAGAAAAAACTTTTTCATGTAAAATAACAAAAAATGCATTATTTTAACTGACTGATTTAAATTGTCTTTTAACAATTATATTTAAAAATCCTGGCTGGCTAGTTAGCTCAGTCGGTTAGAGTGCCATAACACCACGGTCAAGGGTTCAGATCCCTGTATCGACCATTCACTAAAAAAATGAAACTAAAAATAAAAATGCTTACTTATTTTATTACCAAGAGGAAATCACTTAAATCCACCAAATGAAAAGAGAAACAGTATATTGATATAAATTATTTTTATTGCATGAAAAGTCATAACTCATGATGATAGAATAAAAATGTAGCATATAACAAAATAGTCATTGAATTGTTAAAATTTACAAAACATTCTTTAAAGTATTTTTAGATTGCTTTAAGAATACAAATTAATTTTTGAGTGGGCTATATAACACAATGATTCCATTTTATCACCTATTTAATTTCAAAATCATTTTATTTTTATTAAATGGATTCGGCAAGTACTGTACAATACAGTAAACACTGCTAAAAAACAAAAAAATAAAAACTCATATTTACTCTCAAACTAAATGAATATTAAAAAGATGGCAAAAGTATGAGGTTTAGTTTAAAAAATGAATCAATGTATATGTTACAAAAGGAACCAAGAATGTGTGTAATTTCCCCTCTAAAATCCATTTCAAAATTTATATATGGTCTTCCTGTGTTGCTTTTCCTTACACTTCAGCCACCTATCAAATTTAGGCTGTTATGAAATTTATATCTGAAGTCGAATGCTTTTTATTCACTCAGTGTGGTAGGTAGGTCCGACGTATAAACTCCAAGACA